TTCTTTGGTTAATTCCCAATTAGACAGAAAATTAAAATATCAACAGTACTCCATTCCTGAATAGACTTGTTAATTTTTAGACATGGAGCATACATCTCTGTAATGCTTTTAGAATCAACAAAATAAGTGCCACATCTTCCCCACATTTGCTGTCATCACATTATCAAAGCAACCAAAGTTAATACATAGTCTGAACATTTAATCTGTAATATTTTCTTCCATGAGCCAGCAAGGACTAAAGAGATGTAACATTTTTCATGTACAGTAGTAAAATTTTCTCCTACCAAGAAAAAATTTGAGTAATACTCTAGAAATCCATCTGTTGGTCTGGCAGTGGATAGACCCCCATTGAAAGAGTGGAACAGGGACTCCAGTTCAATAGACTTCTGTCTAGTCACAAAGTCTGGGGCCAGTCAGCACCGAGACCTCTCTGAAAGGCAGCACCTCCCAGCCTAATTCTCGCTTCTATCTGGCAACTGCCTAGATCCTAAGCAAAGTAAATCTTGCAGATAAATGAAACTTATTTGTTTTCACACCAAAGTTTTCTTTAGGTTGCCTGGATTTGACAGACACATTTGCCAAGTGTTTACTTCTGTCCTTTCTACAACAGATCACATGGGATGTACTTGAATCATTTCTGGAGACCCACCGTGCTCATTGTGAATTTCAGGGCTGGAGCTCTTGAGGTGTACGGAGCCATTTATCCGCACATGATCCCAGGCTTCTGTGCCTTTATCTGTTTTCCAAGTGTTCCTGTCCTCTCCATGTCCATCTCTGCTTCCAGTGTGCCTGCTGGTCAGCCTAGTATGGATGATGGAGGCCCATAGCCACAGTGATCAAAACTGTCCCTGAAACTAAAATGGTTAACAGTTACTGAGCACTGACTAGGTGTCAGGCACGTCATCAGTTGTGTGTGCATTAACCCATTTACTCCTTACAACAACCCTATAATGGAGGCGCTAGCCTAAAGTTTCCTCTTTGAGGTGAAAAAGCCGAGGCCAACAATGGAGGCTCACAGCCAGAAGGCGGCAGCGCTGGAGCCTGACGCAGGCAGCCCCTGACCTGCAGAGCCTGCCCTCCTTCCCACTCACTGCCGCCTCCAGAAGCGACCACAGTCTGCGCAGGCCGGACCCTTCCTTGCTCCTCCGTGAATTCTGGAGCCCTGCGTACATGGAGTCCTCTTTGGAAGCACCCGGCATTCACATCACAGTCTGAGAAAAACTAATTTGAGGGCCCACTCTTTGGAATAATATCCAAATAGATAACACACTGTCCTGTTTAATCAAGAGAAATGGGGAGAAGGCACAAAAACAATATTAGAGGTGAGGAAGGGAAAATAACCAAATACAGAGGAAGTCTAAAGAAGCCAAAGAAAACATCTGATCTTTTTGCTCATGTGTATTTGTGCTACACAGTACATATGAGATGTCCAAATGGAAATGTTAAGTAGACCATTGTATGTATGGTTCACAATCGTCCCCAACAAACTTTATGTACTGTCATGTGTCCTCGTGAGGTTGTCTCCAGCAGGCACTTCAGGGTGGATTGGGGAGGTGTCCCACATCCCTGAGGGAGGAAGACAATCACATTTCCCTCTGCTAGAGCAGGGGTCAGCAAACTTACGGTCCACACGCTGATGCAGCTCCCCACCCATGTTTGCAAACAGTTTTCTTGGCACAGAGCCAAGCTCCATTTCACATGTCACCTCTGGCTGTTTTTGTGCTTCAGTAGAGACCATTTAGTCCTCAAAGCCTAAAATATTTACCATCTGGTCCTTTACGGAATAAGTTTGCTACCCCTGTGCTGGAGTCCTATAATTTTTCCACTTTCAGGCTAGTTTCTACTTTATAGACATTCTTTTTCTTATATTCTTTTCCATTATGGTTTATCACAGGATATTGAATATAGTTCCCTGTGCTATATAGTAGGACCTGTTGTTTATCCGTCCTCTATATAATAATTTACATCTGCTAACCCCAAACTCCCAGTCCTTCCCTCCCCCAGGGAAGGGGGACTGGGGAGTCCCCTTGGCAACCACAGGTCTGTTCTCTATGTCTGTGATTCTGTTTCTAATTCATAGATAGGTTCATTTGTGCTATATTTTAGATTCCACATATAAGTGATATCATATGGTATTTGTCTTTCTCTTTCTGACTTATTTAACTTAGTATGATAATCTCTAGTTGCATCCATGTTGCTGCAAACGGCATTATTTCATTCTTTTTTATGGCTGAGTAATGTTCCATTGTATATATGTACCACATCTTCTTTATCCATTCATCTGTCAGTGGACATTTAGGTTGTTTCCATGTTTTGGCAACTGTGAATAGTGCTGCTGTGAACATAGCAGTGCATGTATCTTTTTGAATTATAGTTTTGTCTGGGTATATGCCCTGGAGTGGGATTGCTAGATCTTATGGTAATTCTATTTTTAGTTTTACCTAAGTAAAAACAGCCTGGAGACAGAGCTTGCTAGGAATGCATATTTCTCTTTACAAAATGTCTCAACAGAATTCATTAATAAATGCTAATAGCTTCTTTTCAAAAGACTTCTTAAGATTTTGTACTTATTCTATCGAAGAAATGGTCTGGCTTCTTAGTATTATCCACATAAAATGAAAATGAACTATGTTTAAGACTTAGAGGAAACAAGGTAAGTGGGCTTTTCTTTTTTCCTAAGTGGTCCACAGTTTCCAGCATCTGCCAGGCCCTCTGATGTTTTTTTCCGAAGAAAGAAATAACCCTGGGGGATTCTAGATGCTTCTTGCCTTCTACAGCTTTCCCGACATCCTCTCCTCCACCAGTGGTTTTGTGGTTTTTGTTTTTTTGAGCTTGTCAAGACTCAGCATAATAAATTAATATGAAAAGGTGGAAAAGAATTAAGTGCTAGAAGCTTCTACACTGAGTAACAGTGAGGAACCTCCACACTGTTTTCCATAGTGGCTGCACCAACTTGCATTACCACCAACAGTGTAAGAGGGCTCCCTTTTCTCCAAATCCTTTCCAGCATTTGTTATTTGTAGACTTTTTAACAATGGCCATTCTGACTGGCGTGAGGTAGTACCTCTTTGTAGTTTTGACTTGCATTTCTCTAATAATTAGTGATGTTGAGCATCTTTTCATGTGCCTACTAGCCATCTGTATGTCTTCTTTGGAGAAATGTCTATTAAGGTCTTCTGCCCATTTTTCTATTGGGTTGTTTGGGTTTTTTTGTTGTTGAGTTGTATGAGTTATTTGTATATTTTGGATATTAAGCCCTTAGTTTCTACTTTATTGGTTCATAATTTCCAAACCAAGGGAATTCCTTGGCTGTCCAGTGGTTAGGACTCTGTGCTTTCAACTGCCATGGGCCTGGGTTCAGTCCCTGGTCAGGGAAATAAGATCCCACAAGCTTTGTAGCACGGCAGGAAGGAAGGGAGGGAGGGAGGGTGGGAAAGAAGGAAAGAAGGGAAGGAGGGAGGGAGGGAGAGGGATGTGGAACAATTTAAAACAAAAAACAAAAAAGGAACTTCCAAGTCATGTAGGTGGTGCAGATTCAGCCCTCAAACATGTGCGTGCCTCACGTGCAGTGTCCCAGTTTCTTTCAGATGCTCTTTTTCTAGCCATGGCCTCTGGAGGGACAGCCTTGAGGCTTCTCCTTGGACCAGCGCAATTGTTCTTATCTCAATTTTAGGGATTCCTGGCTATATTGGTTTTCTTTTGCTGCACAGCAAATTATGGTCGTTTAAACACCCAGTTTAAGCTCACAATTCTGTCAGTCAGAAGTCTAGCATGGTAAGGCTGGCGTCTCTGCTCAGGCTAAAATCAAGTTGTCAGCCAGCTACATTCTCATCTGGATCATGGAGTCCTTTTCTAAGCTCATCCCTGTTATTATCAGGATTCAGTTCTTTGTGGTTGTAGGACTGAACTCCCCATTTTCTTGCTAACTATTGACCTCTCTCAGCTCCTATGGGCCACTCTTGAGTCCTTGTACCATGGTCCCCTCCATCTCAGCAATGGAGAACCTCCTTTTCAAATCCCTTTCATGCTTCGAATCTCTCTGCCTTCCTTTTCTGCCTCCAACTGAAGAAAACTCTGCTTTTAAAGGGCTGATGTCATTAGGTTAGGCCCAAGGGGTAATCTTGCTTTCTCACAGTCAACTGTGCCATATAACATAATCTTATGACAGGAATAATATCTCAGCATATTTATAAGTTCCACCCATAATCAAAGAGGAGGGCATAATCAAGGTTGAGGGTCATTTGGGGACATCCTAGAAATCTGCCTATAACACTGGATTTTTGCAGGGAGCCCCATTCCAGCTTCCTACCACACAGAGGCCTCAGGCTTATCAAACCCCATCTTGGAATACAGTACACCTTTTCCCTAATCCCCTCATGGACCATTCAGCTTTAGCTCCCCCTCCCTGTTTTGGCTTTTAGTTTCCTCTTCATTTTCCATACCTGAGATTTTCCTTTTTTTCCTTTCAAGATATGCAAATATTTTTGTTATATTATAACCAGTATGTTTAAATGTTTGGAATGGTTGAGGTTTTTCCTTCAGCAGCATGTCAGCCGTATTTTCCAGAATTTTAGGGTTATCAAGCTACATTCCAAAATTACAGAGTCCATTGAAGTCAGTGGATCCTTGGAGTCCTAATCCCAGTGAGGAGCAACCAGAGTTTTACAAAGAATTAATGGTTAATCAATCTGAAAACTTAACAATGTGTCAGGTCTAGGGGATAGTTTCCCTGTTTGCATTAACTTTGCTTACTGTATCACTGGGAAAGGGAAGATGTATGAAAACCAACGAAAATACATTGCAGTATCTTTCTGAGAGCTAGACCCTGTCTAATAAAACAGTCAGATTAATTGACAAAAGACAGTTTCCTTAACTGGGTTATCTTGTCCAATTACTTATTATTTTCAGATCATTCACCATGACTAAACACATAGTTATTCTGTTTCCATTTCAAATCTGCAAGCTGTTTTCAAAATTGTTGTTGTGATGCTTTTCTTCAGATGTGGCTGAGCAGTATTTTCAAGATAGCATGGCTAATCTTAAGGATGCTGACGGGATAGGAAAAGCCAAATTTCTTTCAATTCAAGATGATTATTGCCATTTTCTACAAGTCACTGGACAAAAAGAGGTAAGCGAGTTTGGACCACAGCTGACTAGTTATTTACCTGGGCGACCCAGTTGATATCCAAAGGGCTACTCCTGCACTCTGAAAGCATTAAGCATCTACCATGTACAAGGCATGTGCCAGGCTCCACGGGGAGAGGGATAAATAAGGCCAGGCAGCCACTCTTGGGCAGCTCCCAGATATTCGCTCTTGGGAAATAAAAAAGTTCATGAGAATGTAGATGCCATGTCCACCTGCAGAGTACCTTAAAGGACTAGAAACCTTGAGAACCCAGTGGACAGACTCTGCTTACCGCAGCCTGTGGTTCTGGCTGGCATAGAGGGTGGAAGTTAGTGTGTCTTATTCCTCTCTTACTATCTTAGTTAATGGATGAAATTTGCATATCTAATAAGAACTACACAGTGCAGAAGTTACAGCTCACTGTCCGTTGAACCATACAGGCATGTTTTCCATGGCTTGTAAAAATGGAACCAGACCCAGAATTTATATCATTGGTAGTTAAACCCTTGGGAACTTATTCCATAAAAAGCCTAACAACTACCAGACACCCACATGCTTCATTTATACAGATATTTTTTTTCAACTCTAACCTGTCAATGGGACTTCCCTGGTGGTCCAGTGGTAAAGAATCCGCCTTCCAATGCAGGGGACGTGGGTTCAATTCCTGGTCAGGGAACTAAGATCCCACATGCCGTGGGGCAACAAAGCCTGCACACCACATCTACTGAGCTCGCACGGCTCAACAAGAGAGCCCACATGCCGCAAACTACAGAGCCCATGCACCCTGGAGCCTGTGTGCCACAACTAGAGAGAGAAAACCTGCACACTACAACTAGAGAGAAGCCCACGCGCCGCAATGAAAGATCCCGCATGCCGCAACTAAGACCCGACGCAGCCAAATAAATAAATAAATAAATATTTTTTAGAAAACAAAAGCCTCTAACCTGTCAAGGCAAATCCTTGAGATGCAAACCTTTTTATTTCCTCTGCTGTTATGTAGACCTTCTCCCCGACAGCTCTCTCCTAACCCTTAATCCTTCACCCTTCTCTCAGTTGATGTGAGCTTAAGGAACATAGGTTTTTAATCTAGATGCACGAATGTTCGTCAGGCCAAAGTCGGGCTACAGTAACCATAACAAATGGAGTTTCCATATTTTTCTGGATCACCCAACCAAGTAGAGAGGGGCCTTCCAGGGGCCTCAGATTCTAGAATATCTCTAGAAGTTCTATGTGGAGTGCTCAGGGCAGAAATCTGAGAGGAATTCTGCCCCCATCATGCCTCACCCCTTCCAGCTCATCAGTCATTTTTACCTTCAAAATGCCCCTTGAATCCATCCATTGGTTGCCATCTCCACCTCTGTCAGTCATCATCTCCCACCTGGACCTCTCTAACAAACTCTGGCTCCCCAGCTTCTGCTTCCACTCTTGCCCTTTTCTAATCCATTCTGAATAAGGAAGCCATGGTGATCTTTGCAAAAAGCACATCTGATCAGTGGACCCCCATTTGTAAAATACTACACTGGCTCCTCAGAGCCCTTAAGATAAGCCAGAATCCCACATTGCCCACAATACCTTGCACGTTATGGATTCTGCTGACATTTCCAGTCTCATTTTTGCCCCCTCCCCTGATCTGTGTTCCAGCCACTGTGGCCTTTTCTAATCCCCACTTCTGGGCAGCGTCAGCTTTTGTCTCCTGCTCTTGGAAGTTTCTTCCTCATTGATCTCCTGGCTAATGCAGATCCATCCTTCAGGACTCACCAGCTTGCCTGATTCCCCTCCCTCAGTCTTCATTAGATTCTCCCCACTATTCTTCATCATAGAATCCTGTCTGATATAATTATATAACAGATTATTATTATGTATTAATAATACATAATAATACATAACAACAGATTATGTATTGTTATTATAATTATAATATATAATTATATTACAATAATATATTGTAGACAGTTACTCTCTCTCCCTGACTAGACCAAATTCCATGACAGCGGGGACTCTCTTATTCGTGGTGGGGGAGCGTTGAGCCAATGGGTGGATGGATGCTTGGCTATGGACTGTCTGACTGCTCTGGCTGCCACAGGGCATTCACCCTTTCCCCATTCCTGTCTGGCTTCCTGCCCTGGTGTCTGTCATCACCGCTGCCACACCTCACTGCCCTTGCCCAGGTCACCCAAATCGGTGGCATTGATCTAAAGATGTACCTCACTTCCTGAGGCCTCCCCCGGAGATTTTAGCAAACTGGCTCTTTTCATTCTACAGCCCCTGCCAGCCCTTTTGGTGCCCTTATAAGAATAGACAAAGCTGCCTCTTCCTCAGGTGAGTGCAGTCCGTGCCAGGGCACATTGCTTAGAGAGCGGAACACAGGCCGGACTTCAGCCCTCCTCATTCTCCTGCCAGACACCCTTGTGCGTGACACAATCTGTCCAACCAAATGTGTCACCTTGTGTTATGCTCACTCTTGGTTACAGACCTCACTGTGGGTTCCAACAGGAGCTGGCCAATGGGGCTGGGCCCAAGGACAGTCCCAGGCACGAGCACAAGGATGTGCTCAGACCACCTCAGCTGTGTCACAGCCTACATGTGGGCTAGGACCCTTTGCCAACAGGAGGGTGATCCTTGGGAAGGAAAATACCTTTTAAGGTAAAATGTAAGTGAAGTTTACTTTGCCACAGGTTAAAAGATACTCCGTGTTAAGATACTCTTATAGTTGTGCTGCTCTGCTGCTCAGGAAGCTTCTCTGACTTCTTATTCCCCATAAGAAAATCTAAACTCCTCAGCCTGGCATGGTCTCCACCACCAGCCCAGCCCGTGACTTCTGCCTCATCTCCCTCTGCTGCTCTTCCTACTTTCTCTGCTATAGTCAAATTAGTCCCCTCACTGGCCTTGAATGTGCCGTGTGCTTCCCCCAGCTCCCACTGTGCTCCCAGGTCCCCACGCCCTCTTCTTGGTCCACCTAAATCCTATTTATTCTTCACTTCTCTCCATTAAGCTTTTCCAACTCTCAGAGACTGTCACTGTCTCTTTCCTTTAAACCCATATCCATGTGGCATCTCTTCCATTGTCATATCGACTTGCCATTCAAGTTCATGCACATCTATCTCTAGTTTCCCCAATCAGGCTGTAAATGGCGTTGAGAGCTTCATTTAGGAAAAGGTGTCTGGCTCTTCTTTCCGTCATTGGCTCCTCCCAAGCCTGACAACCAATTTTCATGGAAAAATTGCCAAACCCAACAGTTGCATCACAGACACTGGGAAGGGACACGACAGGCTTTAGCATCAGGCAAGACCCATACCAAGGTGGGTCACACACTTCACAATTTACAGTTTCTCTTCCCTGGCAGTGATTTATCTTTCCATCTGAGAAATTGTTTCTGCTTTAACAGTGCCTTTTACCGTGGTTCCCTGATCCCACCCCCAGCACCTAATTCATATTCTTGCCAATAAACTGAGTAAAGGCCTTGCGAACTCCTCTATCTGGGGAGCGCCAGCAGGATGGCTTCAGGGCTATGCGGTGGGCAAGGCTCCTTCTCTGGTTCCTGCTTTATTCGGCTCTATTTTTCTTTTAAAGTCCACTTATTTCTCCCATATATATTTTTTAAAGATTTCCTTGATGTGGACCATCCCCAAAGTCCTCAATGAATTTGTTACAGTATTGCCCCCGTTCCGTGCCTTGGCTTTTGGCCGTGAGACATGTGGGATCCCAGCTCCCTGACCAGGGATCAAACCCGCACCCCCACACACACTGGAAGGCGACGTCCCAACCACTGGACCAACAGCAAAGTCCCTATTTGGCTCTTCTATTGGGCGTATGTGATCTCTACCTGTAATCATGCTTTTATTTAGAAGATCGTAGAAGAATTTCAGGAGAAACATGGGAGACCGACATACAGGGCTTTCCCTCTGTATGTCTTGGTGTATGACTGAAGAGATTAATACCAGCTCATATTTTGTATTCCATGTTGGTATAAATAAATCAGATAAACCAAACAAGATGTCAAATATATTTAACTTTTCACCATGTTGGAATGTTTGCTTTTGGTTTCCTGAACTATTTCTTGTGAGAAATGGAAAACCCTGGAATATGTTCTGGATGTTCTGTAAGTAGATTAATGCCAGGAAACTCTGTAGTTTTCACTTACATAAGAACATCACTGTGTACAGAGGGAGAAGAGCCTGCAACTAAGAGGGATTAAAACTGTCAGGATCCAGATCCTAGATCTGCCTGCCACTGATGGGCTGTCTGACTCTGAGCAAGTTTCTTGACTGCTCTATGCCTCAGTTTCCTCCTCTGGAAAACAAGGATTAAAATTGTCCTTATCTAAAGGAGATGGTGCAAGTTCAATGAGCTCACACACATAAACTGTTTAGCACGGTTCTTGCCACATAAAGGACACGATGCAATACATGTTACCTTTTCTTCTTACTACTCAACTAAAATGGGTTCCTGTAACATCTGAGATGGCTTTTTCTCCAGGGGTCCTTTATGCATTCTCTCTTCAGAGTTCAAACCATTCCTGTCCCCCGCAGCACCCCCCTCACCCCATGTATATTATTTCCTGATTCCTATTTAAGGAGGAAAGTAGGCTCAGCTCATGAGACACTCTACCCAAACTCATTCCCGTAAAAAGGGAAAATACATACCAGTTACATCATTTTCTTAGGAAGCACTGATCTTTATCCAGCTTTGAACTTTTTATTTAACCAGACGGCTTTTTGTTCCTTTCACAGAGAGCTACCTCCATCCTGAGAGAGTCTCTGGAGGCCAAAGTGGCAGTGTATGGTGATCTCAGTCCCGAGGTGGCAGAGACATACCGGCTCCTGGGCGGGGCTGACCTGGCACAGGGGAACCAGAGCGGGGCCCACAAGAAACTGAAGAAGGTAAAGCTGCAGCCTAACTAATGTGGAAAAATACCCTCCCACCCTTCCCCACAGGTAGCTTTCTCTCCCTCCACCATGCTCTTTTTAAATGAAACTTTACAAGTGGCTTATTTATGTAAGATGACATCACTTTTGCAGTTGATCTCAGCTCACACTTTTTGGGGTAAAAGGTACAGTAATCCTCTTATGCACATAGATTTTTAAATAAATTATCAATTATTCTTTACTATGAAAATAATTTTAAATTTGTACATAGCGTAATTTATCAATCGTTTGGTTTTTTTTTACTTATTTTTTGCGGTACGCGGGCCTCTCACTGTTGTGGCCTCTCCCGTTGCAGAGCACAGGCTCCGGACGCGCAGGCTCAGCGGCCATGGCTCATGGGCCCAGCCGCTCCACGGCATGTGGGATCTTCCCGGACCGGGGCGCGAACCCGTGTCCCCTGCCTCGGCAGGCGGACTCTCAACCACTGCGCCACCAGGGAAGCCCTTAATCTTATTTTATTTTACTCTTTCTGTACACCCAGTTTATAGAGGAACTCTTTGTGTGTTCTTCTACTACTTATGTTTATTTTTTTTTAATTTGGAGTTTCTGTGGATGGCATGAGGTATGGATCTAATGTTATCTTCTTCCCAAATGGCTGCCCAGTTGTCCAGCACTATTTTATTAGAGAGTCCATCTATGCTCCAGTGAGTTAACACTTTTGTCACATACTACATTTCCACATGTACTTGAGTCTATTTCTGGATTTCTTTCTATTCCACTTTTCTCTTTGTTTATTTGAATCCCAGTACCTCATTGCCTTAATTATAGAGATTTCATAGCATGATGTAGTACCTGGTAGGATTAGACTCCCCTCGTGGTTTTTTTTTGGCTGCGTTGGGTCTTCATTGCTGTACGCGAGCTTTCTCTAGTTGCGGGGAGTGGAAGCTCCTCTTTGTTGCGGTGCGCGGGTTTCTCAGCGCAGTGGCTTCTCTTATTGTGGAGCACGGGCTCTAGGCATGTGGGCTCAGTAGTTGTGGTACACGGGCTTAGTTGCTCCGTGGCATGTGGGATCTTCCCGGACCAGGGCTCGAACCCATGTCCCCTGCGTTGGCAGGCGGATTCTTAACCACTGTGCCACCAGGGAAGCCTCCCTCGTAGTTTTTGTATATCAGGTTTTCTAGATATTCTGGCATCTTTATCTTTCCACATGAATTTTGGTATCAACTTATCTAGCTCCAAAAAAGTTTGTTGGTGTTTTTTGGAGAATTGTTTTATTTGTAAATGGACTTTGGGAGGATGGACATCATTATGATGTTGAGTCATTCTACCAAAGAACAAGGGATGTCTTTATATGTGTTCATGTCTACTTTTGTAACATTCAGGCACATTTTAAAGTGTTCCTCTTATAGGTTTTCTACATTTCTTACTAAGTTGATTTCTAAGCATTTTATCTTCTTTAATGCTACTATAAATGGAGTTTTATCCACTGTTACACCTTTTGACTGGTTATTTTTGTGCATACGAAGACTATAGGTTTCTCTGTGTTAATTTTATATTCTGCTCGTTTGCTTAATTCTTTTCTTGCTTGAGTTAATTTGAGCACTGATTCTCTCAAGTTTTCCAGGTGTACTTTATGCCTCTGATTGATTTATTTTGTCTAATTGATTTGGTTCATACCTCCAGAACAATAATAAATAATGTGGAATAATAGGCATCCTTGCCTTGTTCCTGATCTTAATGGAAATGCCTCTAGTTATTCCTCATTTAATATATGCTGGCTTTGGACAAAGATTTATATATATTTATCATGCTAAGGAAGTATCCATGAATTTCTATTTTCATGAGTTTTTTTTAATTAGAAATAATTGCTGGGTTTTTTAAAATTAGAAATAATTGCTGGATCAAAGGCTTTGTCAGCATCAATGGAGATAATCAGATGATTCTTCTTAGATCACTTAATATGGTACATTTTATTATAATATTGAACCAACCTTGAATTCCTGGAATAAATCCCCTTAGTCATAATGAATTATTCTCAATGTGATGTTGATTCTGTTTGCTAATATTTATTTTTTGCAAATATTTTCCACCAATATTTGTAAGTGATATTCGTTTAAGTATCAATGTTATTTTGCTTCATAAAAATAATTTGGAAGTTTACCTTTATTTTCTATGCACTGAAGGATTTTATACAACATTAAAACTATCTAGTCTTTGAAAGTTTGTACCACGTGTAAAACTCTTTAGGCATGGTGCTTTTAGGGGGGAAAATTCCTTGACAATTTTCTCTATTTCTTCTACAAACAAATTGGTCTGTTGAAGCTTTCTATCTCTAACAGGGTCATTTTGGTAAACTGTGTTTTTCTAGGTAATTATCTATTTCATTCACATTTTCAGATTGATTTGCATAGAGATTTGCCAAGTAGTCTCATGGATTTTTCAAATTTCTACTTTTTTAATAGTTATTTTCCCATTGTAATTCTTAGTTTTTTATTTGGATTTTCTCACTTTTTTTCTTGACTGAGTTATTTAGTGGTTTGTCTATTTTGTTAATTTTTCTAAGAAACAGGATTTGAATTCTATGGATAATTGCCTTCCTATTCTCTATTTTATTAATTTCTGATTTTATCTTTATTCTTCCTTTCTTTGTAACTTATTTTGTTTTACTCTGTTGGAGTGTTTCCTATCTTTTTGAATTGGGAATTGAATTCATTTGGGTTTTTATTTTTATTGATATAAGTGTTTTAAGCTATGAATTGTCCTCTTATTATTGCTTTAAATGCATCTTATAAGTTCTGTCATGTTGTGTTTTCATTACATTAATTAGTTTTAAAATGGTGAAAACCTGGGAACCTTTAAGTAATATAACTGCCCAAACCAAAAGAATTAACTTTAGTTCTGATTTGGCTGTCCTATAGGTCAAGCCTTTTTTTCTCTTTTTATGACTTCTGATTCTGCTGCAAAAAGCACCAGATTTGGTAACATGTGTGGTGCCTATTTTTTAATGAGGTAACATATATTTATTATCAATTAGTCAACAGTAGTTATTGGATATCTTCTATGGGCCAATTACTGTGCTAGGCAGAACTGGGGAAAGACAATCAATAACCAAGATAAATATGCTTCTTGTCTTTGTGTGACTTTCTAGTCTAGGCAGGAAGATATATTAAACCAATCATTTCAGATAATTTTAAACATTACACATGTGCCAAAGACATTACGGTGAGGGAAGAGGTGAGAAAGGTGGATGAGGGTGGCAGTTGCTCTGGGTTTCTCCATCCCCCACTTTTAAGCTAATGCTTATTGAGTGCTTGTTATATCCCTGGCAGTGAGTTAGATGATTTTTAATCTATTAACTTATTTAAGCCCTATAGTAACCCTAAGAGTTAGATACCTCTACTCTCTGTTTTTGCAAAGAGGGAAACTGAGGCTGAGAGGATAATTGTCTCAGCCTTGATTGCAAAGATAGGAGTCATCAGAGTGGGGATTTAGCACCAAGCAGTCCATATTGTGCAGTCCACTCTATGCTATCATCTGTTTTACAGCTTGGCCTTCCACGTAAGATTTTGTTTGAACAGGGGCTTCTTGTGCTTTAAAAAAGTTTGAAAACCAGTGGCACAGTAGAGAGAATACCAAGATAAGGATATGTAGGAGTCTTTGGGTTGCCACTGACAATACAACTCAAATTAGCTCAGGTATAAAGGACTGTCTATTGTCTTATGGTTTCCAAGGAAGCACTGACAGGCACATGATTAGCAGGACAGGAACACAGTGGAGACTTGGGAAAAAGTGCCAAGGCCAGACTAGAATGCCACCAGGGCTCTCTCTGCCCAGGAGTCCTGCCTGCTTCTCTCTGCACCTCCCCCTACTCCTCTCTCATGGCAGCATCTCCCCTCAAGATGGAAATCATGGTGACCAGCCCCTCAGAGTTTTACTTCCTACCCCTGCTGCCATTTTTCAGTCACAGCTTGGAAGTTCTCAGGGAAAAATTGAGAGGCCTGGCTTGGATCCAGGGCCCACCCCAGATCAATCAGCTGAAGCCAGGGGTGTGGTAGGGAGTAAGAACATGGTGCCTTCAAGGCTGATGGGTGGCCCACAGTGGAGGTGGTGCAAGAAACACAGTCCCATAGTTAGAAGACCTGGGACAGGGTCACTAGAGCCCCTCCCTATTTGGGGGCACGTGCATTGAGTATACTAGGCATGCCATAGCCCCTTCCCTTAAGAGAGTCCCAGTCCCAGTTAGGGGAATTACAGACTGTAAACCCCTAACTCTGATATTATGTGCTCAGTATTGTGCTACAGGTCCACACTGTGATCAACGGGAGAAAGGGGATTAGGGAAGGTGTCCAGATAAGTATTCCTGAAAAAGAGCATAGCCTAGCAGAGACAGGAATTCCCATGTTGGAAACGAGGTGGAAGAGGAGACTCAGGGGCAAGAGAGTGAAGCCTATTTAAGAAGCAAAAAGCGGGCTTCCCTGGTGGCACAGTGGTTGAGAGTCTGCCTGCCGATGCAGGGGACACGAGTTCGTGCCCCGGTCCGGGAGGATCCCACATGCCGCGGAGCGGCTGGGCCTGTGAGCCATGTCCGCTGAGCCTGTGCGTCCGGAGCCTGTGCTCCGCAATGGGAGAGGCCACAACAGTGAGAGACCCATGTACCACAAAAAAAAAAAAAAAAAAAGAAGAAGCAAAAAGCAGTTGGGGTACCTGTCTGCAGAGGAGCTGGGAATGACCTCGCTGCCATGTTTGCAAGTTAAGGGGCTGAGACTTGATCCTTTAAGCTAGGGTCCCAAACGTTGGCCTGCAAGCTGAATCCAGCCCACTACCTGTTTTTGTGTGGCCCCTTAGTTAAAAATGGTTTTTTACAGATGATTATAAAATCTGTAATCATTTTACAGGTGATCATAAATTGATTTGATAGAGAACACTGACTTTGAACCACAGCTAAGTGAAATTTTATCCTCCCCCCAAAAAAAGAAATCCATTATTTTCATTAGTAGAACTAGATTACCCCAAAA